CTCGTCAATAATAACAATAAACTCGTCAACAAAAACTCGTCAATAATAAAACCATGTACTTTTTATTTAAAGATATTATCTCTATTTCCCAAAAAATTTCATAATTTCAAAGTTAGAAATGGAATTGTTCTCATATAACACAATTTTTAAATCATTTAAATTAAATTAAGCTATTTGTGAGTTGAAATGGAGCACGGAAAAGATTCCATTCATTTTTACCTTAGAGGATTATTATGTATTGCATTGCAGATGAGTGATGGTAGATTACCATTCCTTTCATTAACGCTTATGACATGTATCATTACCGTTATTTTCGGCGAATTATTTCCGCTGGTAAGAGGGAAGGAAAATCCTGAAATGTTGACAGATTAGCTCTTCACAGCATCACTCAGGAAAAAGCACAGTACCACTGGGTATATTCCAGCAAAGTGTTGAAGTATCGGATTGTTCTGACGATTTATAGTTATATAAAAGAGGGATGAAGAACGGAACCACAACCTATATTTCATTCCAGGCAATATGTAATCGGAGAGGCTTGCAAATTGCTAGTAAGACACGTTATATCACCTGGTTTGCAATGATTGTTTTGTCACCTGTTGCCTGGCCAATTTCAAAAATTTTGGATGTAGTCCTTGGATCTCAAGGTTAATTAGTCTCGTTGATTTAACTCTGTACTTCATGCAAAAATCTGTGCTAAAATCATGAAGTGCTGTTTGTTAATTGCAAAAACTGAAACAATCTAAAATCATTGAAATTGAATCTTCACATAATTCCTAAAGAGTCAGCTCCAAATTTTTACAATTGGATAAGAAACTTTTCTAATTCATAGGATGTGAGGGGTACGATAGAAGTAAAATAGAATTTTTAATTCTGGAAGCGGCAAGAACAAGTTCTGCAGTTTTTTCTGGTATGTATTTCCGTTATTTTTTTATTAGTATAAACCCTTCTATCCAATTATTTCTGATGGAATAAACGCTATAAAAGCGTTGCAGAGATTTTAAAAAATGCCATCAATCTACCAAGAATTCGAGTTGGTAATGTAATGACGCAAATTGACGAAGCATTTCTTTTATCAACAACAGATGCTCTTGATAATAAGGTCGTTTTTCTTTTTTTTTTTTTTCAAAAAAACATAGTATGAAATGCACTTTGCTATTAGCGACACAATTACTAATAAAAACGTTAAACACGACCTTGGGTTGAAGTAGTCTTTGATTGGGTCATCTAATCACTTATACCGTTTCATCCGTTTAAATCAGAACGCTTTTCCTAAACTAGATTTTCATTTTTATTTCGGGCTGGAAATTTAGCTTATAAAGAATGCCTAGTTTAATTTACAAAGAAATCCAAAAAATGGTTGCTCCAAAATCTAAAATCAAACCTTCTATGTCACATCAAAAACAAAAAAAAAAATTTCTATTTTTCATTTCTTAGTTAATGCTTATGAAATAGGGCCATTTAATCAATTAAAACGAAATTCCGTCAACCTATGTGTTGGTGAAATTTAGAATTTGCAGCTTTCATTTAGCCCATGCAATGATATTTAATTCCACAATTTTATTTAGAATCATAAATCCATAGATTAGAAGGGAAAACTGTGAACGCAAACAGTTGTTGCGTGTAAAAAGGATGAGGACGAACATCTCATCCTGCAAGATTTCTTTTTTTTTCGATTATTTCAACAGAAAGAGAACAAAGGATGAGGACAGAAATCAAAGAACTCCTTACATTACTTTCACATCTTCTTGGCCCTAAACATGAAAAGTGGGATTTTGAGATCTACACTAATAATTTTCAAAAACCGAACAGAATTTGACTTAATTTTCCAGCTGATTCTTTCGATCGTAGAAAAAGGCTATAGCCGTATACCTGTTTATGAAGGTTCAAAGAGAAGTAAAGTCATTGCAGTACTAAATGTCAAGGATCTCATTACTACTGATTTCAATAAAAGCATTGTAGTCATAGATATATTGAAAAAATTGAATTACTTGAAACAGGTTAGTTAACTTACACTTCAGTTGAAAAATTATGAATGAAGAAAACTTCACATTGATCATAATTTTATTTGATGAAGCATGCTACAACTTCTCAAGTAACTTGTCATTTATCAACGGCACTTATCCGGTCAATATTTTGAAGACCTAATATTTTAATTAGCAGGTAATTAGCAAAAATACTGATAGACATAAGAGGAATGAAAAAAAGAATATCTAAACAATCATATATGTTTCTTACAAGTTCCTTCGGTAATTACCCGAAGAGTTGTCCACTGTTAGCTCAATAATTTAAAACTACTAGTTGAATGCACTTGGTAATTAATTTGACTAGCTTTAAATTTATTTCAAAAAAGTTATAACTGAAATGACCAGGTCCGTTTCGTATGCGAAGAGATGCAAGTAAAACCATTACTGAACGAAATGGAAGGGCAAAATTTTGCATCCGAACCAAAAGGTTGCTTTTTGGGATGCGTGATTTTATGGTCACAAAAAAGGCTTGTTTTTTTAATAGCATTGACTTCTCATGTTCTTAAGAGTTTGTCAAGGCTTAGTTGAATTGTATTACTCTTTAGAATTCTTTAGAACTCTTTCAATTAACTGGGCAATTATTAAACCGATCTGTTTTTACCAAGAACAAACCGCTATATATTGTCAATCGACTTCACTATGTTTTTTCTCACTTATAATTTTCCATCCCCAAGTATCTTTTCCAGGTTATATATCACACCTAGCAATGGTGGTAAAATATGACAGTAAAAGTTACAGCCTTGTTGGTCTGATAACGCTCGACGACATCATTGAAGAAATATTTGGAGAAATGAAAGTGAGTTCCTCATAGATATCATTGAACTGTATCTTTAAAATAAATTAGAACTTATGGGACTTCTAGTTCATCATTCAAGCATTCTGATGTCATATTTTCTTAGATCACACAACACCATAGTAAACCAAAATTATTTTGCATGATGAACTATTTCAATGGACAAATCGACGAATTGGATTACATCGAGATCATGCAACTTTCGACTGGTTACGATCAGAACCGAATCCACTATCACCGCTGCAAGAAATTTATCATATTCAGAAAACACTGGAAAATTATCCTGGTTTCAAAGTACCATATATCTTTACAGACAGTTTTTTTCAGTTCTAGAAAAACTTTGACTCTCGAAATATGCAACAAAGCTTTGGAAAGTTTGAAACAAAAGCAAAGATTTGTACTTAACAAGTTGCGACTTTACTTTATCCTAAAAGTTATTATTCAGGAACTATCGTTCAATATTCTCACAATGCGTCGACTTTTCAATTTATGTCAAATTCATAGTTCATTCGGCAGGGTGAAAAAATTTACCGTTTATAAACAAGGATATCCATCCAGGTAAATAATAATGATAGCTGAAATTGATCTTCTACCTCTGACAATCCTGCATAACAAACTTCCTTACAAATCATACTAACTCTCCATTTTCACCACTGACATTAGTGCAATCTGTAGCACAATCTGATTATAATATCTGGAACAATTAACTGCATACACAGCGTAATAAAGAGATATGTAAAATCTTCCTTAAATATTGCGTCTGAAAAAGACTAACTATCTGACCTTATCCAGGTCAGTAGCGGTGATTTTAAAAGGTGAGGCATTTTATGAGGACACGAAAGGTGTTCGCATGGCTGTCACTCCGCTTGAACTGGGTGTCGAGCTTGTCGAGCAAATTTATTCGCTATGTCTCGATAAGGGTACTTCTGTGGATCTAAGTAATTTGTATTTCACGCCATTGAGAACAGTTTACGTGGAACCACCATTCCATTATATTAAGGTCTTATTTATTTATCCATGCAATTAAAGAATAACTGAAATGGAAATGAGCAAATGAAATTGAACCGGCAGAAATGGAAAAGAATTTATTGCTTGAGAATAATTTATTCCATGTTCTCATTTCTTAATGAAATTGTGTCGACGATTTCATCGAATTCTAAAATTCAAATTAGTCTAGAGCTTCTTCAACTGCTCTAAAAGTAATTCAGATAACAGTGCGAGCGATACTGGCGGCAATGCAAATAACAGAAGTGAATGAATATCGTCGTGAAGTAAGCGAAGCGAGGAATGTGAAGAAGGTGATAAACAATCCACAGCTCAGTGATTTGTCGTCTGTTGGACATAAATCAACTCCCATCAGGTATATAACAACTAAACAGTCAAGTCACCATCCAAATTCAGTGTGATCAGCTGACTATCTCAAGAAAATAATGAAATAATCTTTAAGTTAACATGGTCATTTGAATTCATTCTGTCATACAGGTTGTTTAAATTCTAATAGGAATAAGCGAAAAACTGATTCGACGCAAAGTATGAGCGCATCCAGCACTGAAGATACGGCAAAGTGCAAGTCTCATGGATCATCAATCTATCTGTCCACAACCGGATCATTCACGCCACAGAAAATCACGTGATCTTCGACTGGCTAACTTGAATTTTGTATTTTAAATGTTTAAATAAAGGAAATTACGAAATAATACTCTGTAATAGTATTGCCGTCGAAAAACAAAGAATAGATGTTCTGAGCCTGGGCTTGATACTCCCTCTCCTGTGTCCTGAATTTAGGCTCGACATCATGCTACTTCTGAAGAATCACAGTTAAAAACGAATCTGAAAGGGACGGCCAGTTTCACAGAGCGATGCGAGAATTTCTCGGTGCACTTTCAGGATAATCCGGAATATATCATGTAATATTATTAGTGGAGGAGGACAGATGGCTGTTGGAGTATTGCATTGTTATCACTTGAGCGTTATCAGCCCATAGTGAACTAATACTAGACAGCATAGTTTTGTTATGTAGTGTGTTCCCTCCAAAATTCTGTTTACTTTTTCAGAAAGTGAGCAATGTAATGCTAAGCACGATTTTCGACGATTATTTTGAATGACTATCGCCTTGCGTCCGTATGCTCCTAATTTCATTCGTTATTTTATACAAAGTCTGAATTTTTCAAAAAGCGAAGTTGTTCGGCACCAAATCTCAATTGAAAATATTTTCGCTCTCTCCCTCCATTTCGAAAGATGTATTTTTTTTTTTTACTGAGAATTAGTTTTGGCAATAAGGAAGAGCAAGTAGCATGCAATATTTTGGTTTTTCAGACTTCACAAGTCAGTTATCTTTCTGAAGCAGAGACACTGCTTAACATTGCTTCGGAAAGAGCAAATAACTTCAACAGATCAGCGGTGGCTGTTCGCCGAATCAATCGAGCATATTGTAAAGAAAAGTAGTAATACTAGGAAGGACAGATATCTTCCCACACTTTCCTTATCAGAGGTAATCTTATGCAACAAGGTTGATCTTGCTTAAGTTTTAATTTCAGAAAAAGCTGAGTACTTCACGGTGTGTTTGCATCAGAATTCTCATTGCGTCCCTTCTCGATTGTTAGATTGATCATCTATGGACATTAATGATCACGAATTAATGAGTAAGTACTACAGCTTAGTAGATGTTGCAGCATAAGGCGGAACAGTCACCGGATTTTCTCATTGCTGGATTGCGAGACATTTATCAAAAGCGGTCAACAATTCGATCAGACATCTTTATTGACAGCATTTTGCTACCTCTTGAATCAAAAAATTGGTTTTTTTTTTTTGTTTGAAAGAGATCTCGTTTTCTTCGGTTCCTAAATGCATGGAACATCGTCATGCTGGATATTTGAAAATTCTGTTTATGCTCCATTTATTTGTACTTATTCTTTAGGTAATCTGATCGAATTTTTGCAAGGATCTGGTGACACTCATGTTCCGTTTTTGTTGAGTTTATGTGGCCTGCCAATGAGTGATGTTACATGTAATGCAAAATCCGAAATAGTTGATCGACTTTGGAAAGCACTTGTTCGTGCAAGTGAGTTTCTGAATTAGCCACTATTTATAGCATTTAAAGAATGTTTACCAAGTATTATTTGTTTGAAATAGTGGTGACATTGTTAGTGATTTGAAATTTATGCAAGACGCTGCAGTCGAAATTATAAGCTCGAATTTGAAGATATTGCAATAACTCATGAAGCGATGAAAAGCCGTTTGAGGGTCTTAATTGAAAATGAACAAACATTCGATGCTTTGGAGATGTTGAAGGAAGCTGAAACAACATTCTGTCTCGAACCGGATGAGGGACTTTTCACTGTTATTCTGCAGGAGCTTTCAACGACGGGAAGCATCAGTGCAGTGAAGTGTGTTGTGTTGCTTTATTATGGCCATCAAAATATATGGTTTATGACTCAGAATAAACGCAGTAAAATTTAGCCAGTATTTAAAATGTAACGTTAATTGTGCGTCATGGAAAGTTATGTTCTTGTGATTTCAATAATTTTTCGTTTAGTTCGATGATAAGGGAAATAGAAAAGCGCAAGTTACCCGTGAATACAGAAATGAAAGCATCTCAGATATACTGCTATTTTAAGAATGATGATAATAACGCAATGGAACTAGCTCAAGTGAGCATATCTAAATAACATATTCCTCACAACTAAATTTTGCATATGAAAAAAATCCGAATTTAGTATATTCTGTAAACTTACGAGTGAAATCCCTTTTTTGATTTTAACAATTTTCTGTTCCTGTACAGTACTTAACGAAATATATCATTAACTGTTTCGGAATGTTTTCTTGTTTGCAGAATGCTATTATAGAATATGGAAATGAAATTGAACCACTAATTTTCATGGTGCGCTGTCAAACTGCTATCGAAAAACGGAATATCCAAAAGTTCAAGCTAGTATGTCTTTTTACAACTTCCATTGAAATAGTAAAGAGTGGCTTAAAATTTAAGTATTTAAAATCTTCAGCAGAAAAACAAGTAATGCTAAATAATGACTACTCGTAGTTCTTGTTTTTATCAGTTACTGGATTCACTCTCTTCATCGGATTTATCACTGAAATTACTCACTGATGAAATGGTGATGAAATTTGTGTGGTTACTGGCACGTAACGGCACCGATTCGATGGGCAAAGATCATGAACAACTTTGCACTGAAGTTAGTTTTTAATATTTTTTGACTGTTATGCATTCTCATTTTTTGATATGTTTCGTTTTAGACACTTCGGAAAGTGAGGAAAGAACGTGGTTTTTTCAAATTGATGGTTCGAGAAGCAAATCGACATGCGGTCCATGGCATGTTCTATTCAGCCCTCTCATACTTTCATAGTGATTTGCATGTTTCCGCCAAATCCATTTTTAGAGGTGGATATGGTACGTTTTTTATTAAATACATCAGTATTGCTGATAATTTTTTAGGTCTCTCTTCTACTGGCGACTACATATATGTATCAACAATGATGAATCTTAATGAATGATTAGTTTAGTTGTGGATATCTTTTTCGGCTTTTCCCGTTGATATTAGTCTAATATATTATGCTTATTAGTTTCACCGTCCAAAATACTTACAGTTATACTTTGTGTCTGAGTTTTTCATAATTTTATACTGCAGATTTTGGACGTCATATGGACTGGGTTGGTTGTTTTTCAAAAGCTCTGATAAATGCTGAATTGTCTTTGGGAGAATTGAAAGCTTTATTTAAACACATCAATCGAAACACTCATCATGCGTAAGAATTTCGCGTTTTATTGCTGAAATATGTTTTCTAAATTTACAATGGCGCAAGGAAAATCAGCAAATCTGTGTATATTTTTAAATTTTTAGGCATTTCTTGCTGGAGCATATTTTGTACTATGTTTTGACACACAGATTTCTGCCTGTTCAAAAATCTTTGCCGCTAACTTTGGAGCTTTTGAAAATTTTGGATCCTAACTGCATTAAGATCCACATCGTTGTGCCCTTACTTATACAGTATGTTTTTTCTTTTTCTCTTCATTATTTTATACTGTCATTACTTCGTATACGAGTTTATAAAATTTTTGAGGCATTGCTTTATGTTGAACTGTATTTCAGTGCATCTGGAGTTGAACAACGCCTCGAAATATTGGCTCGTTTTGTATCAGCTGGTTACAACGATTTAAATCACTTGAACCATGTTGTTATACGGAAGCTGCTGTTGCAGCCTTTACTTGGTTTGACTTACTCTTTTCATTTAATATTATTTAAGGGATTTACGGAAAAATTTACCCTTTGTTCTGTTTGTACTTTACGAAGTATCTACAGCGTGGTTGCAAGTATCTACTGGTATACTGTTTCAGGAAGGGGTGACACAGCAAAAAACAAGTGGAACACTGAACAGCTTGCTCGTGTTGTGGATATCATCAAGAAGCATAAAATATCAGAAGACGTTGCTTATAAGCTCTTAGAACCGGTTGTGGTAGGAATTAGCAGTTTGGAAAAGTGAGTGACTTGTTCTTATCTCAGGCAGAATTGGGATTTTTGGAAAAGCTGCATATTCATCAAATGAAAAATGGAGTTCTTGAAATTTTTACATTCAGATAATTTGCAGATGGCTGAAAGAGCAAAGTAATCGAATTAAAACTGATGTAAGGAACTATAGTGTTCCAAATACATTAAAAGAATACATATCAAACCAGGTATTTCGCTACACAATACAATTATCAGAAGGTTTCATTGAAAGCGAAATTTGCGACTATTTTACAACTCGGTTGTTGTCTATTTAGTCAGTCTAATACGAAGTCATAAGTTCAGTAGAAAAGCAGGTTAATAAAATGAATGCTTCATGTTTTGCTTTTCATGATATTTGTCCATGAATTCTTCTATATTTTCATTATTCATCTGCCTTTTTACGGTTTTAATCTTTGTCGATATAAGTACATCATAAGGTAACATTATCTATTGATTTTTATCAACAAACAATGAAGAACTGCTATTAAAAAATTAAAAATAAATTTTACCAGCAATTGCAGGAAGTGGATAAGATCCATGAATTCATCAAAAGAAATGGCTCAACAGATATTTCTCAGCTGTTCCAGCCCATTATTATGTTATACATTCATAAAGCTGACTGGGGCACCCTCATAGAATACATAAAACAGATGTTAGCTTTTTTTTTGTTTCATTTTGCTTGAATTTGAATTTAGTTTAGGCATAAATAAAAAAAAGGCAAAACTAAGCAGAATTCACAGAAACTGATGTACTTCAAATTGAGATAAACTTGTGCATGCTTAAAAAAATCGGTTTCTTATTTTTAGACATAGCGATGGCAGCAGTTTGATTCACTTAACTATTGACAATATTTTATTGATTTTGGTTCGACATTTGGAAGAATTCGAGAGTTTTAGCATGACATCTGATTTCGTTTATTATTTGCAACAAATTGTTTCTAGAGGTAGGCAAGTAGCATGTAGTATTTATATTTGAATTTACTTGTTGTCCAAATCGTCCGAAAAGTATATCACATGGAGGTACTTCATGCAATAAGTGACACATACATCTTTTTTTAATATTTCTACTTTTTACTGTTTTGTCGCTTTTCATGCCCATTTTTAACACTTCAGTCCTGCATAGAAGTTGAGCTGTGGTGCATTCGGCAATTGATTAAACTGAATTTAAACTGAAGCTAAATTTTCCAGATCTTCACTCAAATACTCGAAATCAGAAAATGCTAAAGAGATTAATAAAGCAGAGCTTAGAACTTCTTCACGAAACTGTTCAGTCATTAATTGCCTGCTCACGAATGTTTAGGACACTGGCAGATGTTAAGTGGATTCAATCCGGTTTTTTTGAAATTGTTTCAACTTCATTTGCTTCAGCAGCTTTAACAAAGTTAGTTCACTAAACAAGAGTCTTATTAGCGCATCGCTTTGTTCTGCTTTAAATTCAAATTTTAACATGCCCATTGGGAAATTTCCCCATTTACAGATTCGGTTTTGAAGGAGCTTTGAAAGTTTGCAATTTTTTCCAATTTTCTGATTTTCCAAATGGTATCATTTGTTTATTGCACTATGCTGTCAGAATCAATGATGAAAATCTTACCAGCAAAGGTAAAAATTCATTGTAAATCTCACTAGTCTACTCGTTCAGTTAAGCACGTAACTCTCTTAATACTTTCCTTTTCTAGCGCTTGCTTTAGCGAGGACATACTGGCCAGAATGGAAAGTTTCCGTAACCTTTGCTTCGATTATGATTTCTTTAGAAAAGCTGGAAGAGGCAAATCGTTTGCTACAAAAAGTAAGATCCAAACGTGATTTTAAATATATTTCCAAAAGTCCTTTCTGAAATTTGTATTCATTTATAGCTAAATGAGATTTTTTAGGCAAGTATTCGATGGATAAACGTCTTTCAGACTTATAAGTTGTTATGTGCTGTACATTTTGATGAGGTATTTATTTTTTCTATTTGTTTATTGTTTATTTTTACTTATTTTTGAAATTTAACTTGTTATTAATCCCATTAAGTCACCCTGTTTCGACCCTTTTTTGTAATGATTTTTGCATTGGCTGTTTTCAGAACTAATCATAAGTAGGAGTCTCTTTACAAGTATTATGAGAAACTTTTGCAAGTGCTTCAAATTAAAATATTTTGTGCGGATTTCTTCTTGTATTTCCTCATATTTGTTCATCTGTTTCTCAGTATTTCCAGGCACATAACTTTCACTTCAACTATCTAAACCTTTTCTCGAAGGTACTGAAATATAATAGACATGATGAAGCTTGCACTCGTTTGGCACTGGATTGTTTGAAGGATTGCAGTAAGTAACAGAAAATTTTTGTTTTACTGACACCCATATTTATTCTATGTACTGATATTTGTATTTGTTTTTAGTTCGGAAAGATCCAGATCAGGTTTATCTGGTGAAGCATTTTCTCAAAAACATTGGAATATAATGAGAACTAAATATATTTATTGATAACGAAGAAATTGATCGACTACAGTTTTGCAATTCTGTTGCCATTAAAAATTTGTTTTAGTATGTTTATCATGATTCCTTCTGAAATAACATATAAGAACCAGAAAAGTCTCCTAATCATTTCAGAACAGATTAAAGTCACTAAAACTTTTTATTCCAAAAGTAAATTAAAGGACGGTTATCTCCAAAATATCGGTAGCACTGACTTCAGTGAAACGTCTAATCATTATTAGTAACGGGAATTTGTATTTCAGTATATCTCAGTGGGATGGAAGTTTTAAGTTATGATTGCCACCAAGAGAAAGAATGCCAATGGTTGTTGTGGTGCGGCTTTCCAATAAATTGGAATAATAATAAATGATTCTGCTTCACAGTCGAAGGTCTTGGATAAAATTTGTGGCTTTATTCCCTTGATATTGTTTTGCCTTTCTTCTGATTATGCTATCAGCGTCTTATTAATTTTTTTTACATTTTGATAGCATGCATTATTTCTTATCAGCTAAATAAAAGTAGAAGGGCGTATGGTAGATGACCGCGTGTAAGGTGTAACTGTTCACTCCTCCTTCTACCTGGTCCTTCGTTTGGGTATCACCGTGCACATTTAATGTTTCCCCAAAATGCACGAGGAGTTTTCGTCCTGCAAACAGTTGATAATATTTGCAGAAGTAGCCCGGGAGGATACCCTAGCACGACCAATGAAGTGACACTTCTTGAGACGGTGTTTTTCATCGTGGCACTGAGTGTTTTGGAGAATGCCATCCGAATTCCTTGTCATTCCTCATGGCCGATGTTGGAAATGGCAGGGTTGGATGATGGATCCATGGAAGATCAGTTTTCTTTCAGGAATCTGTGCATGAAAACTGAAATGTTATTTCACGTTTCTTTGCGTTACTTTGAATGGTACATCTCTAGTGACTAGCGTGTTGTAAAACTAGAAAAAAATCTGGAAGTCATCTGTAAATTGTCCCGTAATAATTGTACAGGGAAATTTGCCACTAATTGTAATCTTTACGTACAATAAAATCCTTCATTGTTAACTGTCACCGTTGTTAATAATCATCTCACTAACAATGATAATTGTTATATTGACTTCATATTAGTCACATTCCAGTTGTTACACGGTATACATTCCAAGACACAAGAAACACTCCTTTTCTTAACTGAACGGTTATAGCATATAACAGTTGAGTAGGTGTCATTAATGAAATTTATGTACTGTAATGATGTATATAGTTGAAGACTATATCAGCCTTTGCTTCACCCTCTTTCCACAATATAGTCGGAATAAATTTCCTGTTGATTAGCACAGTTTTATTTCGCTCTGGCTAGTACATTCTTAATTTTATATGATGCAGAATAATTAATAATGGTAATTCTTGTTTTCTGGTTAAGAATTGAGCAGTAATAAATTAATTGACGGTGACTTTCGTATATTTTTCCAGATGAACATCTTTCGACTAACGGCAGACTTGGCACATCTTGTTGCCATTTTCATTTTGGCGCTAAAGATGTGGACGACACGATCAGTTGCCGGTATATCAGGCAGATCACAGCTTCTTTTCAGTGCCGTTTTCACATCTCGATACTTGGATCTTTTCACCAATTTCATTTCGGTCTATAATTCGGCCATGAAGGTCTGTAATTCGGCCATTCCTCCCGACAAATTTTGTTGAATTAAAAGTTTTAACCGTTACTGACTTCATTAATCAGTATTAGGTTTCTCGTTTCAGTTTATTCAATTACTTAATGTCATCCAAATTGGTGCCATTCAGTCGTACCCATTTTAATGATTTGTATGTACCTTCGCTTTCCATTTTAGTTCGTGCTACACATCACTTTCTGATAAAATATGTAATTTTTAGCAGTTCATCACCACGAACCAATCTTTTTCTGTTACAGATTTTCTTCCTACTGACATCTTTCGGTACTCTGTATCTAATGTGGATCAAATTCAGAGCAACTTATGACCGAAATCATGATACATTTCGTATCGAATTTTTGGTGCTTCCATGTGCTCTTTTGGCTCTGCTTATCAATCATGAATTTACGGTCATGGAGGTATTGATGCTTTCTCTTCCTTTCTGAATTCGGAGATTGAAGTCAATATCTATATTAAAAAATTTCTAGGTAATGTGGACATTTTCGATTTATTTGGAAGCCGTTGCCATTATGCCACAACTCTTCATGCTTTCCCGCACTGGGAGCGCTGAAACCATCACCGCGCATTATTTGTTCGCACTTGGTTCTTATCGGTATGTAAACATTTTAGATGAAGATTTGAAGGCACATATAATACACTTCTGAACCATTGGTGCAGCCACTTCTTAATTTTCTTGCACTTGTTGCGTCCTTTTTTTTAATCTCTGCAGCCACTACTTATCGTAGCAGTAGCTGTTTTTAGTGTAAGTGAGAAATAATTCATTTTTAGAATTTCTTAAGAATTTTTAAACATTATAATTATAGAAGTAAGTAACTACAACTACGCAACAAATATCACAAAATATTGTATTTTAGTGCATTATATATATTGAACTGGGTCTACCGCTATTACACAGAAGGATTTTTCGACCCCATTGCTGTCATATCTGGAGTCGTTCAAACCGTACTTTATGCTGATTTTTTCTATCTTTATGTTTCGCGCGTTCTACGTCAGAAACGTGGCTTACAACTCTCAGCATAAATATCTTTATTAAATGATTATTTTTATAGGTGCAACTCTTTACAAATTATCGCTGGATGATTTTTTGAGGGGATTCAAAAATAAACTCAAAAACATTAAAATGAAGAGTTTTTTACTTCGCAAGGTGCTTTTACACCATTTTTACTGTGTACATTCTCTTCCCTGAATGACTTTGAGACCTCATTTAAAAGCACCCAAATTTTAAAATGATTTTTTTATTTCAAAGAAAGGAACTTCATAAGATCTGACTTGTAAGGCTTTCTGATCGATGTTTGTTGATGTTGCGAATATTGGATTTGTTGATTGTTGATTTTTTTCGGTTTCCGGATTACAGGTAATTTATTAATAGCGTTTCAAAAGCTTGCAAACCTTTTCAATATTCCTGTATCTGTTTCAAGTAGCATGCTATTTTAATAATGTTGTTGATAAAATTCTTCACTGCATAGCTGTTTTTGCATTCTTATCTTTGGGGTGTAACAGCCACCGTCATTATTGTTAGTCGTTTTGTTGTCTTTTTTATAATAAATTTATTATACTTATGTCTTCGGCTTTTTTATTTTCATAAAATTTCATGAGAAAAATAGCAATAATATGGATAATAGTTTCCTATTCTTATAAAATTCTTATTTAGTTGTCTTTTACCCCATACATATTTAAAGGGAAAAAACTGCTCATTTTTTCTTTCTTGTATGGTTAAAAACTATATTTGAGGCACATATATTGGTGTTATCGCAAGACTTGCGCATATTTTGGTATTTTAACAGTTGCGCATATCTTGTTATCTCAACTAATATGAAGGAATAAAATTTTCCGGGAATTTGTGAATAGTTGCGTGTGTTTTTCGTTTTAAAATTTTAGAACGATCTTTTTTCTCATTTTTCTTTATATACGAAACTATATTTAAGGCACTTAAGTCTTGAGGTTCCATCAAGTCGTGTTTTAAATGCAGTTTTGTTATCGATATTATGAATCAGTTAAAAGTTGTATTCAGAGTCACTTTCCTGTCACATTTGTGTTCTGGTTGTCAAGTTAGTATATGTGCAATTGTTGTCAATTTCACTCTCAAGCGTTAGCTTTTTCTTTACAGAAGCTTTGATCCAAGATATTATGATGATTGGCTTCTCATTTTTTTTGATTGGTCCTAATTCAAGTTACTGATATGATACCGTGTTTCAAATTCTGCACATTACAATGATGTTACGCTACTCGAGCTGCAGGTATTATAAATCCCTAATTTTTTGCTGTCATTTAGTCTTGAAAACCAAAGATATCTTTTGACTTTTTGCTGCATGTCTTTTTTATAATGTTTTTCCATCATCGTTCATTCGTTGTTTCCAAAGTTTTCCTTCCTCTATCTCTTTGTCGTCGTGTCATTAATTTTTACCGATATCTACAGATGTTTATTGCATGGATACAAGTTTCCTCTGCGGGCTGTATTACCGGGCCATCAACATGCTTCAGGTTTCTATAATATTTTCAATGGTTCAGTGGATAGTTCATACAGTGTTCAGTTACTGACGTATATACGTTGACAGACAATTGCTGAACTTTCCTTTTTAATATTTCAGCTGCTTGTTCCAGTTCATCTTCATCAGTTAATAACAACGTAGGAATTTCACATCGGCAATCAGTGAAATGGTATGGATATGCATTTCGAGACAGACAAGAGTACGTTATATATTTTGTATTTGGTTTCTAGCTTCTAACATATTTTTGTGTTTAGCTTTTAGTTCTTATGAGCTGAAGGTGTGAGGTCCACACGGCTGGTTCTTTCAGTAAGCACTCATAATGCCATCTGACAGTTGATCTTCTATACATTTGATTGTGCTGACATCACGACCGATAATCAGGGTTCATGTCGTCAGATTTTGAACTACAAGATGTAGTTTTCGTTAACGACGATCGTATCATTCGCAACTAATTCTTCTGTTTGTTTCCTGCCATTGTATTGGAAATTCATTTTTTCATTTTTTGTTAGTCAATCATATTGCAGTTCATTCTATTCTTTCAATGAATCATTTGAGTTATTGTATTCCATCTCAACCAGCACAAATACTGCAAAGGATGAACGTTGGTTTCGAAATATTTTTGTAAAATTTCTGCAGTCAATCTGAGTGTTAATTATGTAGGGAAAATCAGAATAAATGAATGTTCATTTGTATCCATTTTCCATAGATTCATAATGAATAAAAGGAAGTAAAGCAAATATGATTGACTAACTCTAAATGTGTCATTTAGAAAATGTGATTGAAGTATTAGAATCTTTCTTTAAAACATATGGATGGCACAGTATCGATGGAGTGTTGATTGACTTGCTTCCTCAAACTTATGAAATGTTACTATCGAGGTAATCTGATTCTTTATTTCCATAGTTCATTTTTATGAGTGAACCAGTAAGTTTAATGTTTCTTTACATATTATAAGGGTATAAGGAATATAAAATTTCAGTTTCCCAACCGATCACAACGCATCTATGACTGCATCTGGCCATACACAAATATGTGGTAGAGTATTGAGGACTAAGTCAAGAACAAGCTTGCGAAGGCCGCAATGGGTTTCACTTTTTTTTCGTTAATTCTCTTTGAAAATTTCCCAATCGGTTCTGCTTCCAGTTTCATGTTTCCATCGCCTCAGTTCTTTGCAGATTTATTATTTATTATCTCTCTCTCCCATTAATCGCTGGTTTACACGTCAATGACAGTTCAACCGCTTGTGAAGGAAGGACATTTCAAAATTCTATAAATTTATGATTTGTAGTGGACATTTTGCACTCGATCACGATCAGGTCCTTGTATTGCAACAAATAAAGTAATTAAGAATCGTGGGACATTACTGTGTAAAAGTGAACGTCACATGGTAAAATCGGTAATTGTTGCTTTGTTGGCATAATAAATCGATAAGTTTTTTTAGTTTTAAATAGAATGAATTTAGCATCTCAAAGAGCACCATTTTTATTCAAAAAATAAACATATCGCTGCTGAAATACCGTATTATGAAAGATATGAAATTATATCATTTTTAGGCGGGTCAGCATAGTATGCAGCCCGTTTCAGGCAAATTACGGTCTGTAGTAAATTTTCAATTACGGACTCTAAAAACTACTACATGTCCGACTATTATTTGTGATGTGGTGATGTCGGCTACCACTGTATCCTGTCAAGAGAAGGCTCAAAAACCATTCAAGAATGAGAGCGATGAATTGGTAACTTCAAAAACCAAAATTGCATCAGTAGACCAACTAAAGCACCTTATTTTGAAAAAGGTAAACAAGAGTTGTTTGTTTCATCTTCACCGTTAGTGATCCTTCTCAGACTTTATAATTTTAGGCGTTTACAATACTCTGTATGAAGATTATTGATTAGGGAAAGGGCTATGTTTGTTACGTCCAAGGTTTTTAAAACTCAATCAAAATATCGAAGTTGTGTTCTTAATTCATTTCAGGACGTTGCTGGCTTGCGACGGGTTTTGAATACTGAACTTTGGCCATCTCATCGTCTCTTGAAAACGTTTGTTGCGGAACTTTTTGAAGTATTCATTGTATGTGGAAAAGATGCGAAAGAAGCTTTATGGCTTATGGACAGCTTGTATGTTTTTCACATAAATGATTATTAATAATGATAGTATGCATTGTTTCCTGTTAAAATCTTCATGAAGTGATAATTGGTATATTCTGTTAATTTCAATGTTAAAATTTTTGATTTCAAATATTAAGTATGGATAGGATTTCAAATTTAATATTCTGCTGCTACAGTGCGTTAGCGAACAGTCGTGCTACACTGCCAAATTCAGTTATTTTACAACTAATCACACGAATCTTGACCGAAGAAGGAATAAAAGCAGCAATCAATTGTGCTGTTTACTATCGAAATCTATTACTAATTAAGTCACGTACGTCCTTTAACAGCATAATTTTTCACGATTTAATGCATATATGTTCTTGAGGGTATATATATATAATATATATATCGCAAAAGCTCTGGAAAGAAATGCAGAACTGCGAACGCTTCAGGATATTAAGAAAATACCATCTGGTTCTATAATTTTACAAAGGTTAATAGACAAATGAGGATCATGTATTGTACAATTCCATTATTTTGCGCTAAATTGATCTTATGATTAATAAATACTTTTTTACAGCCCCCGATGATTTATTTGCCGATCGTTCCATAGCTGTTGCTGAGAACCTTTTTACTGAAGCTTTCAAAAAAAATGACTTGACGGGAATTCAGGATTTGTGCGATATATTGATTGACTTAGGCTTTCTTCGCAACTCTTCGACTTATTTACGTGCCGTTGTTAAATCCTATCTGCGAAGGTTTGCTTAAATAAAAAAAAGTAGTATTTTTTTATGTTTTTGACTTTTTCAGCTTTAAAACACGTTAGATTGTAATTTGTTAATTTGTAGTGGTGGTTTTGATACAGCTTTCAATATGTGGTATAAAAATGCTCAGAAATATCGTATTGCTGCGGGTTGTGATCTTCTTATACGGCATACAATTTTGGAAAAAAATCTGAAAGATGTATTGCAAGAGAAAAGACTTCGTGAGTTTAACTTTTATATATTTTTTTTATCTCACTTGAGTTTTCGTCAATGCTGTGCCGTATTTCCATTGCAATATTTATGTTTCCCCAGGATTGAGAAGTCTTGAAATCTAGGTTACAAACAGGTTGCTTTCAACAATTAAAATTTAATAAATCGTAAGTGCTGCTTACATATACTTCGAATTGTCACGTGTTTGAATCTTCAAAAACAAAAAAAAGTTAGAGAAGTGGGAAAACGGAATCACCGTGGCAAGCATAGACACATTTTGTTGTTTTTTATATTGTGTGGCCTATTTTTCATCTTATTTATCAGAAGTTTATTAATCTTTATTTTTTAAATTCTAAACTATCTGACTTCTGTGCTTCATGGGATAATTTCAGGAAATATTTTGGAAAAACTCAATGAATTTGGAGCATTTCATGATGGCCTTGCTGAACTTGTTGTGGAGCTTTTAAAGGCGAATATGGTCTGCGAGGCGGAACTAATATTCAAAAGGGTTTGCATTTATATGTAAAACATGTTGTTCTGTACCGTAGAGATCTGCGATTAATATTAATATATTTTTTTTCAGTTGAAAATATCTGGACACCATTTCAAACGGCCGATCTTCCGCATGCAGAGTAACCTGGTATATTCCTTCGTCAAAATTTTAAAAACTTATTTTTGCTAAATCCAGAAATTTATTGATGGATTGAAGTTTTTCCTATTTTGAACTATCGAAGTAAAGAGCTTTGAACCGTTTTTATTTACTAATTGGTTTCAGCTATATTATTTCTGAAACTTTTAGGACAATTTGCCTTATGTTGAACATTTTGCGATTGTTTTGTTGGCTACTTTACTAGAAGAAAGCAGATCTCGAAACACTCGAAAATATTCGCGACAAAAATTGTCAGAAGGAGGGTTAATGAAGAATTTTCAAGCAAGTTTTGGATTTGAAAATTAGTCTAGTATAAAACATAAATGATTTCTTTCCTACCCTTTTTCGCTGTTTCATAAAAAAAAATTTGGTTCCTTGTGTTTCAAAAAATCGATAAATGAGTGAAATTCTGAGAAAGGTTTTTAGGAATCAACTCGCAAAAATTACATCCGATCATTGTTAACGATTTGGCAGCCACACTATAACCGAAGACAAGAAGTAGACATAAAGAAGTTTAGGGCTGATGTCGAGCAACTTCGAGGACTCATATATGTGACCGAAAATGTGTGGTTTGAGATAGCAAGTATGTTTATACTTCATTGTGAGAAATCTGTTGAATCTTATCAATATTTGAAAACGTCATACTGAAGTTGCCTGAGTGTTTTACATTTGCGGTTTATCGGACTTAGAGGGGTGGTGAAAATTCTTCAACCATTTTTTTAATGTTGAAAGATGTGGTTGAAATATTTTGACTTTTCAATAAAATCCATATGGACTTTCAGTTTTCAAACAAAGTGCAGTTTTTGACTTAGATGTCTTGCTTACTTTTCTCAGGTGAAGCTGACGATATGGAATCTTTAAAACGTTTACGGAACTGGATTGCAAAGTATAGGAGTAGCGAATTCAGCAGTGTGAGGAAGAGACTGGAAAATTTCTTCACAACAAAAGAAATTACGATGCCAAATAATGATGGACGGGGATCGTTGATAAAGGATCAATGATATAACTTCGCGTTTCAACCTCTGACATTTTCAATTTTTTTCCCTTCTTGAAGATTCAGCAATATTTGAACCTAACAACAAAGCTGAGCAATTCGAATGTTCCGGATTCTCTTCTTATTTTCTTATATCTGTAGTTTCCATGTCTTGAGGTTTTTTTTTGATGTGATATTGGTAGTGTTGGTTTTTTTTGTCATTTTCTGAAAGTGCTAAAGTTTCCCATTACATTTCGCTGTTATTTGAACAGGCTTACATTGTTAGAATTCTTTTTACAGTGACTTTTTTTTTCTTTTCGGTCGTTTCTTCAGGTTTATAGTTCTTTGTTATTTCTTGGATGATCACGGTTTCATCAACAGCTTTAATAAGAGGAATTTTGTGAACAGTTCTTTTGGCAGTGATTCAATAAAGTCAGCAAATTAAGCATAGAATTATACAAAAACTTTGCGTCTATTTTTTGCTATTCACGTCAAAGCCGTACAGTTGTAAAAATTAAAGTTGAATTGAATGGAAGGCAGTGATAAAGAAAAATCTACTTCACTTACCTGTTCAGCGAATTGGCTAGAAAACATATATATCTTTTTTGGAATGTTTACAAAATTGTCATTATTAAAGTTTTAATCACTTTTCGAACTGTTGGAGAAAGCAGTTGCGTTGTATAAGTCAACAGTGCCATCGAAATCAAGAGGAAACTTGTATGACTTCTAGAAATTAGAAATCCATAATTCTCTCTGATATTAAGGATACGAATTGCTGGCTTATTTCTTTCTTGAATATTATCTGAGGCATTTATTATATGTGCGGTCTTCATGTTAGGTGTTTATAAGCACTTTTCAAAAAATTCGATGGCTTAAAAGGAGAACGTATTGAATCATCGCTGTCTTCGTTAATGATTTGTGATACAGGTATTGTTGCTTCTAGGACTGTCCAGATTTAAACAGTTACTTGAGGACTCTTCTATTGCTCTCAATGTGAACCTACAAGAGCAAGTCAATTTTATCTACGAAAGGGACAGAATTACTGAAAATAGTTGAAAAAAAGGACAAGATTTAATGGAATTCGATCATGTGATACCGTCGGCATTGTGGAAATAGATCCATTGCTGAGTGGTGCGTATTACAGGTTGGTTGGTTTAAAAACGAATTCCCGAAAATGTTTATTGTATTCTCTACTACCTTTTGCTGTTGTTTATGGCATTACTCAAATTTTTTGAGAACAGATTTGTTATTGTTGAAGAGAGAGTAAAATGTCCAACAATCAGCATAAAAACTTCTCACCAGAAGCTGTCAGTCTACTCGCTCATATGATGAATATGACCTTGAACAAAGCTGAACAGGTGTTTTTCAGCAATTCTTCAATTTGTATTTATAATTTAATAAACTGAAGATCATACTAAGCTAGAATTTAGATGGTTCTTTTATCTCACGCTGACTTCAGAGTTTAACAATGGCCATTTTTATCATCATTTGTTAATTACACTTATATTTCCCTTCCAAATTTTATCAGCCATTACATTGGAACATCTTTCGTATCCGTGCGTAGGACTTGTAAAAAAAAATTGCTTAACAAGTAATTTTCGGAATAGTTTAACATTATCCATTCAAATCACGCAGTACAGTGAAATCTTCGAGTTTTAATCTTTGGTCCAACACCTTCAGAGATGAGTAGGCACGACGTGTCACTGAAAGTAATTGTTAGTTCATAGATTAAGACGTTGGTTACTATCAACTGATTACTATCAATTGATAGTTGCGTAGGATTTATTATGTGATTTGCCATTTCCTTGTTAAAATTTCCCAAATTGTGCTTCTCCAAATTTGCAGTCAAAAAAGGATTCGTAGAATAGAGACAGGAAATTATGGTTTATAAATTTTAAGATTGGTCAAAGTGCACAATTTTCTTCTATCAACAGTGACTCAGTGAGAATAGCAAAGTGATGTCTTGTGATTTTTTTTCAGTTGTCTCAATACAATCAACTACCGATTGAAAAGCCAAAGATTTATGAGAGTTCCGAGATGAAAGATATTAATAAAGCTCCATCTGAAAGTAAGTTTTCGGAAATGAACAGTAAATTTCAATCACGATTTTCTAAATCGAAACACACTTAGGTATATAACCTTGCATTTAGATGCATCGTCATCGGTTCCAAGAATCAATTCTTTAGTGTGTGGAACACAGGTAAACACTATTGATTTTGCTAGTTATTTAAATGGAGATTTGGATTTTGTTTTAACTTTACCGATTTTTGGTCCCAAAGTTTCGGAACATCAAAGGGAACCAGTTCTTATTTTTCCATAACAGTTTATACGCAAGTTTTTACGATTAATTTAATTATCTGGCACCAATTTATCATAAGGAGCTGGAGACCAAAATCAAATTAAGTCGTAATTTTGTTTCGACTTTTTTTTTGATTACAGTGGGAAGGGATGTTCAAAAGTTGAGATAAGTGAAGTCGCATATATCACAAAGCAACCCATCATTATACATTTTCACTCCCTAATCAATGACGATAATAAGACGAAGAAATGCTCGGCTTGCCCTTTACTGAAAGCATTGGTTAATTAACTGGAAAATTAGAAAATATTCCGAACAGTATTTTAATAAGTCAGAATCATCTATTTTGCATTCAAAAAAGCTCTAGCCTGCTGCTGAACTTGGCGTTGATGGGGACGTGCTCTCCGCAAGTATTATGACTGGGCCAAAGAATAGGGTTTGCTATGAACCCATTGTTAGTATTACTGATTTTTAAAGTAACAAAAATTCCAACTTATCTTCAAAGTCAAACTTTATAGACTCCATTTTAAAAATTACCGTGTGTTAGAGTTATATTTTAGTAGAAATTCATTTCTATTCAAAAAGATAATTTCGAATTCATGATATTTGTGAAAAACTGGAAATACATCTCAATCATCTAAAGTCCTCAGATGTCTATATAGATTATTGTTTTAAATCATTATTTCCATTGAAACGGCAAATTTTAGAAAATTCAAATACCAAAAGAATGCCCAAGTGCCACATTTAACTATATGATGAAAGCACGGAAAGATAATAAAGATATTTTTATTCCTGCGAAGGTCAATTCACTTTGATAACTTGCTCGATGTAATTTACTATATTATCGCAGTTTACTTTCTTCAAAAGCTTAACTCATTCCAAATGAAGATCAGCTATTAATTACAGATCGTAGTAACTCAGTTACGAAAGGCAGGTATTGATATCAGTTTTTATCTGGAAACACAATTACATCCTGAACTTCCACCACTCTACCTTCGCATTTTCTGTCCTAATTATGAGCCAAAACAGGTGTGGATCAATGGAAAAGAATGCATTCATTGATGATATCATTGCCATACACATACACTTCAGAATGGATTAATAATAATAATGCTTGCAAATCGCTAACAACATAATAAGTGATCATTCTTGATTTGATATCTGATGAGACAACTACACAGTGCTTCCTGCGTCCATTTGTAAGATAGCCAAGATGTGAGAATTTAATGGAGCACGAAATATTTTTAGACACCATCAAATCACGTTTCGGGTTGATTATGTTGGACAGATTGTAACGATTACAATTCGGAATTCGTCTTTCTTTCTTGAATTTATAAATCTTTTCGAATTGAGAGCTGAAAGGAAGAAAAGTATAATTTATGCTTTTCAGGCTGAAAAAGCGACCAAACTTATAAATAAAAACATAAATGAAAACCTAAGTAAGAGGAAATAATGAATGAATGAATGAACGAACTTTCCCAAATAATATACATTTGAAGGCACGTCGAAATTCCACGTTGAAAATAGTGTAAATAATTGGGTTGATACATGAGTTGATATAGCCAAGCCATGTTGTATAGAAAAAGGCATAAAAATCAACTTGGCAGCTCTTAATATCCAACTGAATACATACCGCATTGAGGATATATACCGAAAAAAATGGCACCCAGCAAGCCAGAAATATCCCTAAAGTCATTAAATCAATATCTTCATTTGAAGAATTATTTATGAAAACTGAAAAAGAAAGCATAAGAAAGAGTTATAAAAAGTGTGGGAGTAAATTTGATCACTGTTTTCGAAATTACTTTCATTGAATTACTTTCACATTAAAACATTATACACCGATCATCCCATCTCTTTTTCAAAATTAAATTACACAATTCATTCCATATTATTTGATCCCTAGTGCATTGCTTTCGATACTGGGACACCAATACAAGCTAATGAGCAGAATTTGCAATTTATTTTAAAAAAATGTGAAGCGTTTGATTTTCTATTAACTTATATAATAAGTTTGAGGAAAACATTTCTTGTTCTAACGAAAAAAAAGTGAATAGTGTAAAGAACAAATTTTCTTTCTATCATTGAGGTTACTGATACAAGCAGACAAGCAGAATTCGATATCAACTGAAATTTCTTCGTACATTTTCAATAAATATAAGACAGAACGGTACGATGACGTTGCAATATTTGCGTGTTTGCGAGTGCTACTATTACATCCGAATGTCTCATATTCTTAAAAAATGTATGAAATACAAAAATGGAATTTGTCATACCGACAACAATACCAAGCGTCTTCGTCGCTCGTTTCTCCATCCGTTGAGTTCTGTTGCAATGCCTTCCAGTCAAGCTACTACTACGATTTAATGGTCTTCTGAATATCGTTGAGGTCCGTTCTGTTAGAAAGCTGTTTCTACAAAGAAGTGATGCATTTGGATGCTCAAGAGATATTCAGAAATGAACTAAAAACAGGATTTTTTATCTTATAATACTTTATTCTTCTGAGTAATTCAAGCAGCAAAATTATCCAAACATTTGGAAAGATTCGAATGCATTATCTGTGATAAATGATAAAGAAAAGACAAGTAATCAGTGAAATGCTTACTTGGAATCAATTGAACTCAAGTGTGGAAGGTTTGTTTTCTTATATTTCTTCCGAAAACTCGACAAAATACAGCATTTTCTCAAAGTTTTTCTGACTCTTTCATCAAGACTATCAGACTCCTCTCTAATACCTTCCGTTTCTCGCCATTCAGTCTTTTCACCTTGAAAATAATTCTGAATATTTGAGAAGTTCATATTCATCAGACATACTTTTGAGAGTCTGGAAGTTTTGAAATTTTCTTGGTAGCTCGAAATAATTTAGAGATTAAAGACTGTTATCAAGTCTATCTTCTTATATAATAAACTCAAAAACCCACTGGGACAGCAGTTACTTCTTTCAAGATCCTTTTGCTGTCTACCATATTGCTTTATTTCAGTATCGTTTCCTTCGGATATTGATCTATTGTCTAAAAGTTTCTTAGCAACAAGGTCAGTGTCAAGTTCCAACTGCGTCTGCAAAATTAATATTTACTCCTGCTTAGAATATTATAAATCGTCAAGCATCTTGTCAACGTCATGTGCATTTGAATTCACATCCCAAAATTACCTTTCCTTTTCCTTGCTGTTCAGCAGCTTCTGTATATTCCTCTGCATTAGCATTGATGAATAGATGTTGTTCTCTATCACTCCTTTTGTCCATTTCATCCTTAAATAGTTCCAGCAATACGAATTCTCCCAAAGAAATTCTTCATTCTCTCTTTCGTGAGGAGTATAGGTTAAAATTTAAGTTATAAAGTTTTCTTCAGTCAAATATTTATCAGGCAAGAAATCGGAAAACTTACTTGCAATACAAGTTTATCGCTGAAAGCAGCCAGATCAGTCTCCGATTTCTCATCACAGAGAACATCTTTTTCTCGTTTTTTCCCTACAAAATTTTCATTTTATTTACCTTTTAATCTATTACTGCTTAGCTAATGGATGAGATTGGAATTCGATAATGAAATAAGATCATGAAAAAAATAAAATGCGAAATATTTTCTGATCGAAAACACTTCATATACTGTTGAGTAAGATAAATATATCATTCTTAAGGGTGCAAGAAATTAAAGTTCAAGCAAATGATTGAATCATCACCGGAAGTACTCATGTCCTGTAATTCATAAAACTTATAAACTTCTAGTTGCGGCACAAATATCACTGAATTTTCTTTGCTTCTGGAATCATTCTGTAGGAACCTGCAAAATACTTACTTTTAACTAGTTCTAAATGGTTTCTTAGCATAATTTATTGCCCCATCATTTAATTTCTGCTCAAATAAGGTCGAAATTTTGGTGAAAATTTTTGAGATTTTTCTTTTCGAAGCACCGATTTCAACTTGATAGTAATGCATTACGCTTGTAATTCAATCATTTATACTTCATCAAATTCATCGACATTTTATCGACACTTTATCTCGTTTGCTAGCACTAATTTTGTTCGCAATTGCTTCTTAATAATCCTCTCGACAGCGACATTTTCATCATTCAAAGCACAAATTCATTTCAACTTACAAAACTGAATTTTATTTTTTCCTCACCTTTTTGCTAGAAAGTCAAAACTACACTAATTTGCCTAATAATTACATTTCTGTCCACTGCCTTCCAGGAAATCATTAAAATTTTTGTTTCCAACCATCATTTCAGGCAGGACAAGAATGCGCGACATCACAAGCTTCAGTTCTTAGTAACACCTCGAATTCTTCTTAACGTGATTTTATCATTCACTTAATCGTTGAGCTCAGTATCAGTAATCCCATGTTCACTTCAGAATTACTTCATTTCCTTATCTTTTGAGATTCTGATCGAGCAGTTTATAAGTTCTAATGACAATTATTGAATTTCAAATTGTTAATTCTTAAACAATTTAGTAGTGGCCTCACTTCACGCTAATTCTACAAAATTGAATTGAAAATGAACGTACCGACTTAAAGTAACTTGTCTGCAGGGACAAGGCAAACTGTTACAATTTAATTTTTCCAACATTCGCACCAGGAATTCTTCACTGAACGATTTTCTTGCTGTAATTTAGGGCAAATTAGTAAACGAAATCTTCATTCCAGTTCTATTCAAGTTAAATTCTTAAACTCTGTCAAATCACAAACTTGAATTTTTTTTTAACCTACAGAAATAATTTCATTGTTTCATATTTATTAAGCAATATTTAAAGTCTTTAGGAAGTAGAATATAAAAATTAAATTCTGGCTTATTTATCAATCATGCTTTTCGAGCAGCATAATGGTGGATACTGTAATTCATTTTAAAAACATTTTTGTAAATTAACTCCGAAACAGGAACAGATAAATGGTACGAATAAGTTAATATATGTCTTTTGGACTACAGTCTCATGAAATTACCAAAGTTGACTAGTTTACCTTTACTAGAAACCTCTTCGTCAGAAATATCAGTATCATTGATTTTGATCATTTCAGCGCTATCATTCACAATTCTATTCATATACACTCCGCAGCCGTCGTATTGCTTGCGTGACCTTTGCACTCCATTTTTGGAATTTCCTTTATCAATTTTACGAGAATAAAGTGTAGTTATCTTTGAAACCGTGGCAAGAGTGTCACTAAAAATAAAGGTCATAAATTTTTAAAATGATCGAATTAACCGAAACAAGAGAAAGTAGCAATGTTCTACCAGTGCTGATGATGATGATGGTGATATGATGGTGTGATTAGAAAGGTGAAGCAAACTGCAAATATTTATAACAGAATCTGTGCATTCTCTTGCTGAACATCGAACTGAGGTATTTGGCAGTGGTAATGTGTATAAAACATCTCGAAGATTATATCGAATAGTGGATAAAATGGAATTTAAATATCAGGAGTGAAAAAGTCTAATAAAATAATTGTGCTTGCAGGTATTACTTTCACTTGCAGCTACTACTATTGGCTGTAACTCATACCGATTCTTTCGAAGCGGAATGAATTTGTCCCAATCATCTCAACTTTATTTGCCCTCATTGCTTATGATCTCATCTCTTATTGGTGGATTCTCTTGGAAGATAACCGGAAAGCATACTTCAGTTTCATCTTCCTTCCTTTGCCCATATTTAATTTATTCATATCAGAATCGATTGTTAGCTGTGGTCTCGTTATTTCTGCTGTTTCTACTGAAAAAACTTCCGATATCATTTTCGATTCTGATGATTTGATGATATGAAATATGAGTCACTCACTTCACTCAATCAGAATCCTCAGTGAATGTTACAACTAAAATATTGGAACGCTACTCCAAAAATGTATGCTTATTTTGGTTCACGTATTACACGGATTGATTCATTCCTTTTTACGTTATTTCTCATTTCACAGGTATTCTTTAAAACTTTTAACTTGATAATTTAGAAAAATAAAATTGAAATATGAAAGTTGATAATTGACTATAATTTTCAAATGGAAGCTTTTCAGAATTCTAAAGTACCAAAAAAACATCCATGATTTTGCAGATTTTTACTTAAGTTTTTTAGACATAAATTGGATTCGCAGCCATTCTGGTTATCAAGAATAGGCTGAAGGAAAGTGAGTTTTTTTTTCATTTGTTCGATTTAATAAAGTTTAAAACTTCGAAAGATAGTCAGGAATAATGGACTAAAATGGGACAAGCCATGTGGAATTCTTTCATTCATATATGTTCAATTCAATATTATAAGCACATCCGACATGTTGGCTAAAGCTTTCCATGGCTTGTTATTATGCTCCACTTTCCAAAATATAATAGTATCCTATTCCCAGTCTTAGCTCCTGCTTTATTTTGCGCTAATGGTAGAGAGCTCATTTTGGTCAGGAAGATATTAACTGCTTAATATTCTTCAAGGCTAAGAGGTCTTTCAGCAATCTTCCTTGTCATTTTCCATCCGTTCAGTTTTAGATTGCACTACTAATAATAAAAAAGCAGAGAAATAAAATAACGCAATTTTTTAATTTCTTCCTTAAACAGTCAATTCATTTTGATAGATATTCTCTGTCCGGGCACATAGTTATTAAACTTAATTAGGATATTAGTATTCGATTAATTGATGCACTACGCATCATTATCAGAATTCATCACAGTTTATTAAAAGGATCATTTTGAAGCTTGTAGCACTCATTATTGGGATTGCAAAAATACCGGAATTATGAAATACTACATATAATTTGTAGTAAAAGGTGGATAAAAATAAAAATCTGAAAATATTAAAGGTTTTCTCGGGCCAAAGAAGCAATCTATTTCTTTAAAATCAAAACTCCAAACTAATAAAAAAGCAAAACTAATTTATCAACAGACTTGAGAGGCACACATGCAATTAAATAAAAAAGATAAAAAATACAGAAAAGGTTGGTTTACACTGTTGGAATTCAGGAACTACAAAGTAATGCTCTCAGGCTTTTCAAAGGTCAAAACTAATGCTTGCAAAATTTAGCCTTCCTTTCTCGAAGAAAATTTGCAAACTTTTTAGGTGTAAGTCAGTCATTCTGCTATAATGCAACAGTTTTTACAAATAAATTGTAGTGTTCTGCTGTTCCCTAAGAAATTCAAAGAAAAGAGCCTTTCAGCTTTATTTTAAAAATGAATTTGATATTGTAATCAGAGCATTTTCTCCCATTTCTCTCTTTCAAGTTGTTTGGAACGACGGTTCACTTATGTAAGAAGGAATTTGTTAGAAATTTGTGTAAAATTACGATAAACTCATTTGCCTTACTATATTTCTATCCTTCTTTTCCTATTTCCAGCATTTATTTTTGCATAATATCACAGAAAACTAAGACGACGACAGGTTGTCGTTGTCATCTGTCGCACAAATTCTAACACTTCTGTTGTAATTAGAATGAAGCAGATGAATTAATCAATTCATAACAAACAAACCAATCCCAGTTACCGTCTGTTGACCGCTGCAATTGAAATTGCTGACAGCTGTCGTTTCCTTCGCTAATCTAAAATTAATGGGAAAGGAAATTAGCAAAACTGCAGTTGAATCCTAGGAAGTATAAATAACAAATAAAATGTTGTAAACATGAAAATAGTGAGAAATTTCTAAGTTAAGAGGACGGGAATCTGAATGAATAGCATTTTTCTGGAAAGTAAGTGTGCCGTGCTAATTATTTTCGAATCTAATTCCAAGCTAGATAAAGTCGCTAAGGATTGCAAACCAAGAATTTTGGCATGCAATTAATTTGTCAAATTTTGCTGTACTCCTAAAAACATCAATGCCCAAGTCTTTTTCGGAAGCAGTTCTGAACCAGTGTTGAATTTAACCTTTTTAACGGCCGTAAATATGACCAATGCTGTTTTTTGGATAAATTTTGCCTTTGGCGCAAAGCAATCATTATCCTAAAATATTTTTCCGCGTAAATAAAGTGATTTAGATTACACAGCAAAGTCTCCTACTATAAAGAATTTACTAAAATAATTCACTAAATTTTGCGAAAATATTTGAGAAAGGTGTTTTCATATTTGGCTTATAGCAGGAAATCCAATAAATAAGATAAGTGTCACTAGGGAAACAACTTTGAGGAAAACAACAAGAGTAGCTAAAGCACTAACCTAATATAAACGAATAAAACAATAAAACAGGGTATGACAAAACTAATAATTGATGAAGATATTGAAAATATTGGATTATAGAAACGACATTCGTACGGATCCACATCCGGTGGTCGGATATTCACACCTACGATTAATTGGTCATATGAAATTTTGAGCTGGTTTTTTGAAGTTAGCTCTCAGGCAAACTAATTAGCTTGAGTAGTAGTATATCTTCTCCCTAAATTCTTCAAATAGACAATAACTTTATTTCGAATTGATTGCGTCGAAAAAGAGAAATTATGTGAAGTGGGGATAGCGATAACTTACCAAGTACCATTGGACTAGCAAGTGTAAGTGAAATGACCCAAATGACGGCCATAATAAAAATAACCCGTTTTGTATCATGAGATTTGTGTGAATAACTTATAGGATGGGTGACAGCTCGATACCTAAAATTGAGAAATTACTTTTCGCAGTGCATAAGTTTTAAGTGGAGATTGTACTGCCTAGCATAAGTTATCGTCGTCGCTGCCACTTTTTATCACTATCATGAGAGTTACAAGTATAGCATGAACTAAATATGAACTAACAGTTAGGTAGTTATTTTAAAAGAAACATGGGGTCAAGAACTGCATGGATCAAATTGCATAACAGATTTGTTTATTACAATATTATTTTAACTTTTCAACTTTAAAGTCAGAGCTTAGTATCATGATTCATTTTTAATCGATTGAGGAGCTTGTATGTTTCCGTCAGTTATAAAGCGGAATAGCAGAAACTTACAACTGATAAGCTATGTCAGTAGTTCAGTTAATGAGGTCTGACAATGATTTACTATCTTTTTAGTTCATTTAATAAAATGGTAACATTTTTTTCTCTTTTAGAATTGACATTGCAAATTAAGTAACCTATCAAAACTAATGACTGTTAGAATAAGTATGGACGCAGTACTGCAGGCGACATCAATTGCTGAATATATATCACACATCATCGACCCGAGGAACCAATAACCACCTTGCACCTGAAATGAGGCATATCTGTATGGCAATGAAAGTGATCTTTGTGCTATTATGTTGCGAAAAAAGGATGGCAAAGTATTCATAACTAAGCGGTAACCTTTCATTAATTTTGAAAGTCAGGCGATTAGTTATCCTTAAAGTATAAAAAAGCAACTCAATTGTGAATCAGTAATTTTAGCATTTGAGCATTGTTCCGTTTGCCTTTTCAATATCCTTATTCAAATATATATTCAATACTTTTTTTTTGTTTCCAAACAAAAATTGTATTATATGGAGTGTGAAGGATTTTAGATGCGATGGGAAATTTTTCTTTGTTAGTTATCACATTAACTGATTAAATAACTCCTTTCTTTTATAATCCTTGAATTTTTCCGTAAAAAAAAAAAAAAAAGGAAACAAATGCACTTTGGAGACTTAACAGCTAATGTTTCCATCGAAGCGATTAATGAAACACTAGTTTTTTTAATCATATAAGCATTTCGTTGATATCATGTCAATGGAATTCCTCTACGCATACGTTAATTAAATTTTTCAATTACTATACTTTCGTTTATTTATCACTTGATCAATTCTCTTCCAAGGCAACTGTGAAACTTTTTTTTAATTTTATTAATTCCTAGTAAATCATATTTAAATAATAATTCTAAAAGAACAAAGCAGGGATGATCTTTATAGGTAACAAGCAGAACGGCTTGCGATAGTTATTTCTATTTTACAAAAAAATTTCTATTTTAAAATCTTACAAAAATTTTCATTTTCTATCTTTTTTATTTTAGCAGTGAAAACAAAATTATGGCAATAATAAATAAGCAATTAAACTGCCTCTTTACTTCTTAATTTACTTAAAGTCGCTGATAAGGCTATCATTTCTGTGATTTGTCTAGAAATCTGACCTTTCTTCATCCGTATATTTATGGATATTTCAGTGTGCTCAGTTGTCTGGTCCTACTTATACATATCCATTGTGGCTCATGCCTTTAGCTCATTTGCTCGATTCCATTTTTTGCTTTTAATGCGTAAATTTGATATCATTGGATTGTCCACTGCTAATGTAAAGACAACTTTTGTTTGTTAGCCTATTAATACCTGCTTTCAACGGAATGCATAATTTCTTTTGCATAATCAGAATCTTTTTACGATTTACTACCACAGAATACATCCATTTTATTAGAAGAAAGAAAATGTTAAAATTCATGATTAGAATGTTTGGATAGGTTTTATTGTGATGTTTAACATCTTCGATTATTACTTTCGTTATTATTATCAACAATAATTTACTCTAAAACTGTTGGTTTCATTTTTCAAATCAATGTTAAATTGGATTGCAAACTCACATGGACATAAACGGCATAGGGCATGACAAAAAGTCCAACTAGGAGATCAGCAACAGCCAAGCCAAAGATTAGGAAATTAATAGCTGAATGAAGAGTTTTAAAGCGTAGTACAGCAATAATTACCATAGAATTACCCAGAACAGTAATGGTTGGAATAATTAAAAAGAATAATCCGGAAATATTAAGTTCATGGTCCGGAATAGCTAACTTCGGCGAGCATTGCAAAGTTGTTGAGTCCATAATGCAGCTGCTTATATTCATTGTATTATCAGTATCACTCCTGGTCGATATCAGTTTTAAGTTAATTTCGGGAATAGTTTTAACAAAACCTTCTATTAGCAAAAAGCGTTACTCGTCCAGCTTAGCCTTCCTCATTGCATTTCTTTATCTGAAAGCAAAAATACCGATGTATTATGTCCATCCAGCAGAATCATCAAACAAAAACACCCCATACAGTCGTCCGATTTATTCTTTTTAGAGCATCAATGTTTGGCCTCTGGCTAGCATATAATCGCGTGACCACTGGAGACCTTTCGTAGCGAATGATAAAGCTAGTGGTAGTAATTCTGCATAACAATTAATTTTACAACTCAGTAGGGATGTTAGCCTAAATGATGATTTTTTTAATTGGTTGATGTGGGACGAACAAGCAATCTTCCAATTACTTCTGCTAAAATTTGTGTTTATACGTGAACTTTTCGATTTTGTACAATTTGCCCTGGAATGAATTGGTTCTAAAACTTGAGTGTTTTAAATACTTTAGTATTCCCTGAAGATTGTGTTTATGGTACTAATATTGTTTCAGTTGGCTATATGATGCAAATCACCTAGAAGGATAATTACCGGAACAAACAGGAAAAAGAATGAAAACGATTTAGTGATAACATTATAACAATAGAGCGCAGTACTTATGCCACAGGCAATTGTGCACACCCAAAAGGTTGTTTCTGGATTCTGCATTTAATGGATTGGCCAGCTGTTAGGAAAACAAATTCGTAAAAGTATAAAAATAATCATAGTGTATAATCGACTAAGAGAAAAAAAAGCAAGCTTGATGGAAATTGAAGCCTTCCTTCAACGATTACGGTGGAAATAAGGAGGGGACACGAAGAGAGGACAAATGGAAATGCATATGAATGGAAAAATCGGCGGAAATATTCACATACAGCTGACAAACTTGGCAATTTATTATTTGTAATAGAGATTCTTTCAAGAATTTGGATGAGTCGCGCAGAAGCTAAATTATAGAGAGGGAGAGGGAAGAAGAATCTCTGAACTATTACTTATAAAAGGTGCGAAAACACCGGAAAATACGACCGGTCGTTGTAAAGAATCTGGAATGTAACTATTTCCTCTTGTATTTGACGATCTCTAGGTTGGTTCGCTTAATTAGCCAATAAGAACAAGTGCCAAAATATTCTCACTTCTTCCTTATTGTTACTGATTATCTAAAATTAGTAATGAAAAGACATTATTCTAAGCCGGAAAAATAATTAGACAAAAAATAGGATATAAGTGATTGACAGATGAATAAGAAAAAGAAGAAGAAAGAGGAAAGAGTGCTTTTTTCGTCGTCAACACATCCCTGAATACGGTCGATGCTGTCAAAACACTTTGGAATTAAGCATTATTTATAGAGGAAAAATGTCAGGTGTACCTGTTATCGCAATGAAGGATGATCATCAAGAGGAAGATGCCTACAACGTTACATTCTAGTACTCTTTGTAATTTAGGATTAAATAAAATGTTGTATTTATGAAGAGCACAAAATATGAAATATCGACAAAAAAAACATCATTCGAATTTTGGGATGAAATCTTTTTGGCAAAATAATGGTGAATGCTAATCATTCTGTGATGAACATTATCTTAATCAATATTTTGGATGGGAAAGTTGCAACTCTGAGAAATAGAAGAGATAATAACAATTGGATAATTTAATTTTTTTCAACAAACTTGTTTTTGGAAAAGTTTGAGGAAGGATAATTAAGAAAAACAGCTGTTTATGATTCCCGAGCCAACCATATAAAACCAAACTTCCATTACAATTCACTCATTCACACTGCATTATCAAAATTAGATACTTCAGAGTCTAATTTTCAATAAAAAACAGCGACAGTTTCTAAAAAACACAAAATGGATTTTCAGAAATGAGAAATTAAATTGGTTTTCAATTTGAAGAATAATAAAAAAAATTTGGCAAGAAAAATATTTGTATGAACGGTTACAAGTAAGCTGTTAAAATGACTTGTATATTTTTGAGTGAAAAAAAGAACTGAATATAGCTCTCCGGGAATTTATAACGAGATAAGAGAGAAAAGCAATGAAGCATAAGAGCAAACACCTTTAAGGCGCTGATATTCCTTCTTGCGAGAATTCTTCCCAATAACATTTCAAACTTGAATGTTGCTTACTTCAGCAATCAATCAAATTCTCTGTAATTTTATTAAATTTAAAGGGCATTTTATTTTTCGTAATGGTTATGTTTGTTGCGCAAATAACATAAGTAATAATAAAAGAATTAGTTAACAAAACTTTTCACATTCGTTGTTCAATGCAAGAAATTGCACTCATTCAGTAGCAGAAGTTAACTTTTCTCACAGATGATTTAAATATCAATAAAAATTACAAAAGATGAAACTGAAAATAAAATACTAGGAGCAGAGAAAGAAATTCTTTAAAAACTGACCACAGCTTTTTTGATTTAGAAAAAAACCCTTTTGCCGATTTATCCTCTTGTTTTTTTCCCATCATCTTTGTTATACCTAAATTTGTTTACTTGCTATTCATTAATTAATTAATCATTTGCCTTATGTTTGCCATATTTTTCTTAGCATAAACATTAAGAGTTTTCCTGATGTTCGTAATGCACGGAACACATAGAGTTCAAAATTGCAAATTCAATGTCAAGTTGAATATTCCATGCAGCAAGTCTATTTAGAGGTTTAGATTGGGAGTTTTGTTTTTGAGTGATGGAATAATAAAAAACAATTATTTTGTATATCATAAAATCAAGACTAAATCGATTATCGATCAGTTTTGAAACAAGAAAGCTCTTTCTTGTTTCAAAACTGATCGATAATTTATATTAATCTACCTTTAATCTACCTTTTTTTTTAATTTACCTTTTAATCTACCTTTATATTAATCTACCTTTAAATATAAACTTGACATTTTGAAATGAGAACATTTCATGTAGCAAATATTTTAACTACTCGTATTGAAATTCTTGTTGCAAGTTAATCAAATCTTAATTCTTTCTATTGGAAAGGGCAGTTCTCACAAGCATGAAATGTCATCATAAAAGCATAAAATTAGCTTTGCTGCTAATTTTGTGCTTTTATTACATGACATTTTGTGCTTGTGCTTTCGGCAGTCTTTCAAGGAAGTTTTAGTTTCAGGTTTCTAATGTTTTAAAAAAAGTCAAAAAGGAACAATGGGAAAGGGTGAGCGTTAGCATTAGAAATTTGATAACATCTGACGTTAAAATTTAGCAAACCAATGGATAATTCCATAGTAATAAATAATTGAATAAATTTTACTTCGTCATTCTTTTATTTCCGAAAAAATTATGGGTCCCATAAAATTTGATATTTCTTCAAATGCACTCTTTTCTCTATTCCTATAAGAACTTTAATTTCAGCTAAATAATACGCTACAAAAAGCCATAATTCTAGTCTGAAAAACGCAATTGGCAAGATGGTTAGGCGTGACATTTATTCAACTCTTTCATAAAACCAAATGACGGCCATGTCTGATATTCATTCAAGCCTTTCACAAAACCGCACAACGGTTAGGACTGCAAACCTTTCATAAAATCACATGATGGTTGTGCCTAACATCCATTCACGATTTTCAGAAACCTTACAATGAAAGCCGTTCATTTCGAATATTGAATTAGGCCTCAATAGATAGGTTTGATATCTGCCTTTCGATAATTGTAGCTAAATCCATTTAAGATACGTGAAATTGCAGGATAAGAAATCGTCGAAGTTCAGACTTGTTGGAAATAGATTGTGAGACGGAAATATCGTGATAAACTCTTACTGATTCCTCTGCGTACTTTTTAGCTTGGGCGTGCCTAAAACTAAGTTGTTGAAAGGTCACAATAAAAGATGACATTTCGAGAACTTTCTATAGCATAGAAGTTAGTTTTCGCTTGTTAATCTTTATGTGCGATCTGCATTTTGCCTTGATTTTATCAATTTTCAGCTTTTTTCTTGTCGCAACCATTCAAAACTGATATGAAAAACAAACATTTTAAGAATCTCAAACCTCCTAATGGACAACACATTTTGGTTAATCGAACCGCCACAAAGAAAATGTTTAATGGCAGGACGAAACTCAGGCTTAAGTTCTGGTTAACTTCAATTTGTTGTTGATCTAATCAAGACCCAGGTTGTCGATTCGTGATAAATTAAGTTTAATAACATTCAAGTTCTGATCAGTTACAAATTTGATACCAACTTTCAGCAGCATGTGACAGTGTTGTAATCCAAAACTGATATAGTGAATTTGGAATTATATCTAAAAATTTAAGAAGTTTCCCAGATTTGACATGCAAACATTACTCAAGTGAGAAATAGGTATTATTGTGGGTAAATGTCGCGTAGTTTTCTCATATATCAAATTTCTTTTGGAAGTAGCATAAAAAAATTGATGGGAGTGGAAATAGCATGTGAATGGTCGAAAGTAAAAAATAAAACTTTAGGAATGTGAAAATGACTCAGCTTCGTCATATCGTGTAAAAAAATCGGACTGATACCGATCATATGAAAATATAATGCCAAATAAATGTGTCAGTCATTTCAAAATGAAAAATTCTTCAGGATTATCAATCCTTTCAAAATCTTAATTCGTTTTACAGAAATTGTTGAAAGCAAAAGCAAAACAGCTTAAAAAACTTTAATATATACAGAAATACAAAATCAAATCATTTATGCTAATTTTTTGGAAGAACCGCTTAGAAGAAATTTCGTCCGCTTCTGATACCATTCAAATTATATTTCTTTAGCTCAAATAAAAACTTAATGATTTAAAGTGACTGGAAATACGAATACTTTGCAGCAAAAAGAAAATTTAACAGTTCTATTTCTCAAATGTTTAAAAAGGTGAAAGAAATAATACTTATTCCATTTGATTTCCTTCACATCCTTTTTTCATTCTTCGTTCTCTACTTATAATGGCGTTTCCTTCTTTTGCAAACAAAAATTAATCAGCTTTTTAGTTTTATGTTGAAATTTTATAATTTTAAATCCTTAC